TTCTTCATTCTTTTGTTCTGTTTGCAAATTTCATAATTTCTACTGATCTATCTTCAAGTTTACCGATTTGTTTTCTTCTCCCAACTTGAATCTACTAGAGACCCTCCAATGAATTTTTCATTTTAGTTACTGTACTTTTCAACTCCAGAATTTCTATTGGATTCCTTTTTTATAGTGTTGGTATTCTGGTAATTATTGGTATCAGTGTTTGATGAGTAATTGTTAAAATACACGTTTCTTTAATTTAAACAAGGTTCCTTTAGTTCTTGGAACATGTTCATAATACACATCTGGCCAGAGTTTGGTCAGAGGTTCTACTTAAGCACCTTAAGCTAGTAAGAACTGTGCTCTTTGCTGATGACCTGGGTGTGACTTGGGGAGTATTCTCAAGTCTGGTCCACATCCCACTGATTGCTCCTGAGCAGCTGCCACCCAGTCCACGCCCGCAGCTCACTGGCCCCTGGAGGGTGAGTAGGCTTCCAGGAGGTATCTTCTCAGCCATCTCTTTCCTGGTTCTGTTAATCTGGCTGGTCTGCCATTTTGGTTGACGCTGCTAGTATGGAGCTACCCGCCCCCTCTGAACTGCTCACCACCAAGATCTCTATTGCTTTCAACAATCCTCTTAGTCTATCCTTGATCTCAAATAAAGTCAGATCCTCGTGCAGAGCTGTTGAACTGTTCAGAGCCTGCCTCTTCCCCATGGGGGCCGGACAGTGTCCAGCTTCTCCAGCAGTTACACTCCTCTACAGGTAGGTGCTGGGAGAAAAGGACTGAGAGCCCCTGCCCCTCTCAGATGCCAATTTTAAAGTTCCACCCTATGAGCAGGCTGGAGCAGGAGCAACCGAAGCCCCAGGATTCTCGAACCGTCACACCTGGGGCAGAACCCTAGACCAGTGAGGGCCCTTGCCTTTTGGGTTGTGCTTGCCCAGGTAGGTCAGTAGGAGTACAGCTGCTGTCCCATGAAGTGGGAGCAGGGGTGAGATGGGATCAGGCTGGGGCTCAAATGCCACAGACTCTCTCTGTTTTTAACATGTAGTTGACTTTACTGAATGAATGTTTCTCTATTTGCTGTATGCTTTACACACACACACACACACACACACACACACACGTATGTTTCACTGCGAAGAGACTCAGTGGAGCTCTGCACTCTGCCTTCCAAAAGTCTCATGCAATCAATTCTTTGGGCCTTAGCTGGGCTGCTTGGAGACTGGTCCACACATCTGTGGTTCAGTTGTTGGCCACTGAGATTGGTAGGGATTTCATACAAAGAGCTTGGGTTTCTCTTTTCTAGAATTTCCTCTCTTTCCACAGGCTCTTTAATCCCAAACTATGGCCTCTCGTTCTTCAGTAGGACTGCAGGTTTCTCAACAGTTTTAGTTACTCTGTTGGCTTGTCCTTGGATAAAAGCCATAAAAATGGGACATGTACCCTGTTCTCTCTTCAGGCTTCCACTCCCCTCCAAAGTCTTCCTGCTTTGGGTCATGTTCCAGTATTTTCAAAGTTAAAAAAAATATTTTTTCCAGAGTGGCTGTTATTTGAGGGAGGACGAGTCTAAAATAGCTATTTACTAGAAGTGAAACTACCCTAACCATAAATTTTTAAGTTGGGTAACTTACAGTTGGAAACAGCTAGTGAATCTATAGTTTTAATGAGGAACGGGTAAGATGTTCCACAATGAAATTGAAAACGCTTTTTCCTGTTTTGAGTAGGAAGGAATTTTGCAATTTTTATTTCAAAAAGCACATTTGCAAGAATGCTCTCACTTTTATATTATGAAGTAAGTGGAAGGCAGTAGAACCACTAACAAGGGGTGGAATTACTCTTTTTAAGTAAAGCCTCAAGCTGACTTTAAGGCCACAAGGCCTGTCTCAGACACTATCAAACGTTTCTCACAGACACTAACACTCAGATTATGAACCTGACTTCTTGCCCAGCCATGTATGCCCAGCAAAGTAGCATACATGGGACTTGATTTCTGCCAACTTTTTCTGTTGCCTAGAGTGTCATTTTATCATATTACATTGTCTTAGAAAACTAAGGACAATTATCCTTTGTTCATTCTAAAAAGAGAAAATTGCAGAGCCCTACCTCATCTGTCACTCAGTGCCTTCCAGCTGTAAACTCTTCTCAGAGATGATTCCCAGGCCACTGTCGACTGGCAGTTCAGAGGGTCACCTCATAGCACTGAATGTCTCTCTTTACTTTCTTTCTTTACTTTTCGGAAATGCTCACTGAAGGCTTTCCGTAAACCCTAAATTGCTGGGGTGTTATGAATATACAAATGGACAGATGTCATCTCTGGCCTTGAGATGCATCTGTCCTGCAACCCTTCACTTTGTGGGCGAGAAGGTAGGTTAGTGTAAGACACAGATCCACTGACCACAGAGAAGCCCTGAGCTCTGGCAAGGAAGGCTCCCCAAGCCCCTCCACTCTCATGCGCTAATGTCCTGCAGCTTATGTGATGGCATCAAGTGCAGAGCATTAAATTCCAAGAGGAAGAGTCTGGGACAGGACAACAAAGAGCAGGTGCTGACTGAGGCTCCCTTTGGAATAAAAGGCCTGATGCAGTCTCAGTTACCATTCTGACCAGTCAGAGCCTGCTCTTCACACCGTGACCCGTGGCCCATGCAACAGCATGTTTTTTATGTGGTAATGTTTAACCATTAACCATTACATCACACACAGCACTTCTCAGAGGGCTTGTTCTGGATAACTTTATTATAAGCCATATAATCTTGCTTGAGGCCTTACATGACTGGAAGTTACACAGCTGTAAATACCAACTCTTCATTACTTTATGTGGCTCGGAAGACTTTGAAGTTCGTGACATGCTAACTGCCCTGAACAATTAAATAGGCCGTGAGGGAAAGTATATTTATGAAGATATCATTCAAAAGGGCTTTTACCCTTGGATTTGCCTGCCTTGATTACAAAAATTCAAAACTACCTTTCCCGCTGGGGTTACATGAGGGTTTTCTCCTTCCCTAGGGCTGCACTCGCGCAGGGGACTGGAAGGGCACATTCACTAACCAGCCTGTCTCGAGAAGCCCTGGGGAGCCTCCGCCAGGGTGTGGGGAGGCTGAGGCCTCACTGAGGAAGCGAATCCAGCAGCTGCAGGGCCCTCAGATGTCCTCACCGCAGTCGGGGCACAGGATGTCACCCCTCTCTGTGAGGAAACCACGCCCCACCAGCGACAGGGAGCACTTGGTGCAGTTGAAGCAGTGCTTGTGCCACTGACGCTCCTCGAAAGAGATGTACTTGGTACCGCCGAGGCCTGTCAACAGGAGTGGCAAGCGGTGAGCAGAGTGCGGTGGGGCTGGGTGGGTCAGGCACCCTGCAAGGTTCTGGTCCAGAGCGTTGGGGGCTGCGTCCCCTGGGCGGGGTGTGGCCTTGGCTGCAGGTGGTGGGGCCCAGGCCTGATCCAACACCAGACAGAGCCCCGCCCTCATCTCACCCCGTGCAGAGCCCCGTGCCCATCACCCGTCCCCATCGGACACTGTGCAGGGCCTCGCGGAGCTCACGGGGCACAGAACATACCAAGCTGGCTCCAACCCCGAATGACAAAGGCTGTAGAGCCTACATGTACATCTGTTTGCCCCACTAGAACCGAACTCTGTGAGACAGGGAGCTGATTTCTCTTATTCCTCATGTCTGGGGCTCAGATTTTCTGTGATTTAGTTAAGGAAGCACCAAAGGGGGCTTAGAAGATGGAAATGCTAACATTCTCTGGACTGGCCAGGAAAAGCATCACAAATGAAACGAGACACAGGTGGGGGAGGAGGGGATGGGTATTCCTGCAGAGGGAACATCAGGATTAGGTACAGAGGCTACAAGTGCTGAGAATTGGCTGAGAGAGGCCCATCGAGGCCGCTGGCAGGTGGGGACTGTAGGCGGGAGAGAAAGCCAGCTTACACGCCGGCGGGTAGCGGCGCCCACTCCCTGGGGAGCTCGATGAGGCACTCACCACTGATGGGGTGTGTGCACCCAGCACACCTTTTGGCGTACAGGTCGCAGAAGCAGTTCAGGCAGTAGGCTAGCTCCTCTCGGGATGTGAAACGCTGCCCGGACAGTGGTTGTTTGCAGGCCGTGCACACGAAGCACTCCCGGTGCCAGGGCTGCTCCCGGTAGGTGACCCCCCCGGCGGTGATGGGCTGCAGAAAGCGAGAGGAGCAGGGTCAGGTCCCGAGGCAGAGCCACCTGCCCGGCACACGCCCTCAGGCTCAACTATTGCCCCTGGAATGCTGCAAAATGCTCATCCAGAAAACACTCACTTTTTGTTAAAAGTCACTGGGAAACTGCTTCCTAGGCTGCAGTCACCTCTTTATTACCCTTCCACATGCTTTCAGTCCCTAGCGGTGACCCTGGCATCTGGTTCGTGTCAGGTCCTAGGATGCCTGCCCTCTGCCCTAGGTGCATCTTAAGTGGAAGCACTTCTGGCAGCGTCAGCTTTCCGAGACAGGGAGGACGAGGGCAAAGTTCGGAGGCTCAGGTTTGAATCCTAACCTCAGTCCTTTCCGGCCCTGTGCCTGTGGGCAGGTCACCTGTAAAGATCTCTCCATACCTTTGGTGGTAACCCTGCACCACCTATAACTGCCATGCAGTTTCCTGTGGCACAGAAGGAAGAGGCTTAAGGACACCCTCGGGGGCTGGGCCGGCTGAGCTGCTGTGCAGCAGGGTGGTGTGGGGAGAGTGGGCCCACAGCCTGCCCTCTCACCGAGCCTTGCAGTCCTAGAGCATTGGTGAGCAGCCAGATGGAGAGCTGGCCATCAGTATTGTTTTGTCTAGCATTTTTCTTCTCCAGCTGTTGCTTTTCATAGTCATTTAAATAAATGAATAAGGGGCAGAAGTGAGCAGGCTCTCAGAGGAGTCTGGAGGGGTCCCAGCCTGACTGTGGCCGTGGAGGATGGAGGGGGCAGCACCACTATTCCTGTTATTGTGTCTTAGCTGCTGTATCATCCAGTGTCCCCTTCAACCCTTACATAATTTCCATTTTACAGGTGAGTAAGCTGAGACCCAGGGAAATGAAGTGAGCTGCCTAAGAGGTCGGTCGTACCCAGTAAATGACACAGCAAGACTGGAGTTCAGCACTTCCTCCAGGCCTGTGTTCTTTTCATTAAACTATAAACCACGAATGATGTTTCTGTAGATTCCCTCCCCTAGGAACGGAATTATGCAAAATACGTTGGGTCACAAGGTATCTGCGTGGACGTAGCAGGCGTGTATATGAAAGCTGCTTCCTCTGGAATGTACTCCTTGGTCCTCCCTCCATCTGGAGACCCCGTCCCCCACCCCACCCCACATCACCCGGCTAACTCAGTTGTGTGTCCGCATGTATGCTCCTTTATAAGAGAATCCTCCCCTACCGCCTCCCTCTCCCACACCCCAGACCAGCTCACGGCCTCACAGTGGACGCTGTTAAGGCTCTGCTCTCCAAAGCACACTTGTAGATAAGCACTCGAATGTTTGGCACTGGAGTGTCTTTTCCACCATGGCACCCTAGGGTGCCTAATCACGGTGGGAGGAATGGAAGTTTCTGGCATGAATGCTTTCATGGGTATGAATGAAACCCACAAAGATGTGCTTCCTAGTAGGATGCTTTCACTGCTGCAACTGAATAGGACCAGAAGAAGGGGAAGGAGACAGAAGAATCTTGTATCTTGATAAGAAAAACGGAGTGAACAGAGAAGAAGGATCCTGATATAAACCCAGGAATGAGAGCTCTGAGTACCAAGGGACATATCATAGGTAAACGGCATAATCATAAGAGGGGAAATAGGAAGACATGGAATTTTAAATAGTAAAGAAAAGTAATGAAAACAAGGCAGAAGGAAAAGAGAGAAGGGCTTATGGGGAATTAGCGATACTCTGCCCTTTGGAAGGGTATAGGCAAAGCAGGGCATTCTAGCCAAGGCCTCAGGTCCAGGAAGCAGCAGCAGGCTCCCACAGGTGACACAGGAGCCAGCATGAGGCAGGGGACAGCCTGAAGTGAGCTAGTCCACTGGCACTGCCCAAAGTGAGCCAGGGAAGGTGCCGTCCAAGAGGCTGGCACAGGCCCAGTGGCACCGAGACCTGTGAGTGAGAGGGCCTGCACTGCCGGGGTGGCGGGGTAGGCTGGGGGCCTCTCCTTTCTCTAACCTGAGAGACGCACATCACCCTCTGGACAGGTGTAACGAATGATCTGCCCCCTCCGCAGGGGCAGACTTTTCCCTTTACGCTTCTCCCTCCCTCGTCTTTCCCATCTGCCCCCCGTGGCTTTAGGTTAGTGCAGGTTTTTTGCCCCCTCAAGGAGAGCACCGTAACAGAGGCAGCTCTGGAGTAGTGCTTCCTCCTCCTCTTTAATGTGGAGTCATCAACATGACAGGTACTTGGAAATGGTTAGGATAATGGAGTTCTATCTCAGATCACAGCTGTGCTCTGCAGAGGAGGGGAGCACAGGTCTGGTGGATGAAGAAGAACATGAGGTTACGGAATGCGAGGGAGAGCTGGCATTCATGGCCATGGAGGTGACCCACCAGGATGTGCGGGCCCACAGGGCAGGGAGGTACCTTTTTACACTGGACGCACTGCAGGGCGTACTGTTTCTCATAGCAGGGCACACAGAAATTCTGGTTGTCCTTAGGGATGAAGCTCTTGGTCCCAATTGGCTGCTGGCAGCGATGGCAGACGAAGCAGGTCTCATGCCAGCTGCTGCCTTTATACTCCATCTTGCGGGTGCCTGTCGTGAGGGTTGAGGAGGAAAAGAAGAAAAGAACAGAGTGTTGCAAAAGCCTGGCTTGGGCTCCTAGCAATCTGCACTGAGAACTTGCTGCCATCTAGTGTTGTGCCTGGATCAGGTCACGTTAGTCCCCAGAGGCTCACCTCTAAACGGGAGCATTTTTATTTTGGAGAGGACAGAGTTGTCTTTTGGTTCACTGCTATACACCCAGCTCCAAGAACAATTTCAGTATATATTCAGTATTTATTCGTTGAACAGGGGGTTTTGAATATTAAGTGAAAATGCATTTGATTTTCTTCCTCAGCCTTCCAAAAATTCCAGAGAAATCTGGCATAGCTCAGACTGATCTTTATGGAGTGTAAATCTGGGGGTATGGGCACATGTTAATAAACACCCCTGTGCTTCTCAGTGGGAGAGAAATGGGCCTGGTGTAAGTGAACCTAGAGTCTGAAGCCTGATTCACCACTCTATGAACTAGCTATAAACCAAGCCGCCACACCCTTACAGGTTTTCTGCACTGCACTGAGTGCTATTGTTAAAATCCATGTTATCAGTACACCCCATTTAGTAAGTTTCCCGTTTCCTCTTAAATAACTATTATCATTTGCAGTATTTACACCATTTCTTCAAATAGAGTGAGAGGTCCTAGAAAAATTAAATATTTTTGGGTTCAACCCTGAACCACCACCACCAAGCTTGATTCATAGCAAATGTTCAATATGTGTTGATTGGTGTTTTCCATACTTTACCAAAAAAAATTGTGTGTATTTATAGAAAGACGGTTCCAGATGGGTATTATGCAGGTACCCTCTGTATGCAGCAGAAGTAAAGGATGTGGGGGAAAAGGGGGTCAATGGGTGAAGAGATAGAAAGTGTTTCCAAATGCAGGGCCAGCCCAGAGGCAGCGTGTACATACGACCCCCCAGGCCAAATTGGGACTGCTGCCTGTTTCATGGCTTAAGTTTTATTGGAGCTCAGCCACACCCTTTCATTGGCTTCCATTACCTGTGACCTCTTTTGCACTGCAACAGCCAAACTGGGGAGTGGTGAAAGAGGCTTGAGGGCTGCAAAGACCAAAATGTTTATCTGGCTCTTTCTGGAAATATTTTGCCAACCCCTGGGCTCACTCAAAGGATGGGCACTGAGGATGGACACACAGGGTATGAAGGTGAATTAGGGGGAGGGCAGGGACCGCGGTGGCAGCTGAAGTGATGTAGGCAGCATACTGTAGGCATCTACCGACTCGTCCTCAGCTGTGAGTCCAATGACACGGTCGAAGTGACAGGCTAAGTGACCAGCTTAGCTGATTGGAAGATTGGTAGGGACATGACCCTCTCAAGAAATTAGGATACGTGTACAGAATCATTACATGATTATCTTACTAGATGCCATTTTGGGGTTACTTTCTGCTGTACTCCAAGATGGGACACTGGGGCACCCCCTCCCGTAGCATGTATAAAGTCCTCAGGGTGTGTGTGTACATGTGAGGTGTGTGTAGATGTAGGGTGTGTGAGGGGGTGATTCATGGGGAGGCACACAGTGACCTTCAAGGTTGTGGAACTCAACCTCGGGGTGATGAGCCCTAAAACAAAGGCAACACCACTAAGCAACTGAATTTCGGGCGAAAATGGGGAAGCATTTTGGTGTAGTTCTAAATGGTTTTCTTGGTCTCCAGGGGTTTATTTTCCCACGTACACCTTTGTCAGTGGCTTTTTAAATATCTGACCTTCCCGCTGATCAAGCAGCCCAGACACCAAACGGTTTTGTCAATGAAAATAGGGCAAATGTGATTATCAGTGAAGATCACAGAAGTGCATTCTAGTGTTCTGAAGTAAGTCTTATATCAAACCCAGTGCTCAGGATTCCTACAGGAATCCCCTGGCACTTCCAGACCAAGGCGGGTGGTGGGTACACATCTGAGAAGCACCAGGTACTGCAGTGGCGTCCCCATAGCCCTGTGTGCTGCAGTCATTGTGAAACATTGCCAGCAGGTGACAGCCAAGTCCCTTCTAACAATCGGCTGCCTAGAACAATTCTCCAGCAGACAGGAACTACGAGAGGGTACTTTTCCTGATTCAAATAATAAAGGAGGGACCAGAACCCTGGTGAAGGATTAGTGACAGCGTGAGCCTGTGAAGAGGATGCAGTGTGTCTGCAGGAACGTCTGCAGACAGGGCTCGGCATCTGGTAGGTCATATCCAGTGAAACTAGCCGATGGTTTGTGGTAGCTCTAGTTCCCTGGCTGCCTGCAGAAATTGACATTTGTAGGGTAGGAGCCAATGGCTAAGTTTCCATTTACTGTATGTCTCTTGTCCTATATAGCTAAAGTCACTGCTGATCTGTACTCCTCTTCAGCTGATTTGGTTGTAGCACTTTAAAAACCAGCAAAGCAGAGCAGTAGGTGCCATCCATGATCGGTGTTCACCTTCTTCTTTTGCACACGCCAAACTTTCTCCAGATGCTTTGCCTCTGGTGCCCAGTCTATCTCCTCTACGGAAGTGCCATCTCCTGACTTCCCTGTCCACTGAAACTCAGCTCCTCCTTCAAGACTGCTCACGTGTGATACCCGCAAAGTCCCTTTCCTAAGTCCTCTGCTCTGGGCTCCTACCTCCCTCACAACAGGTATCAGCCAGGTTCTAAAAACCCTAACAACAGATGGCAGGGAGATGCACATCAGAGGGCAGAGGAAGGTGCACTTTCAGAGACTGCTCCATGCCCACCTCCCCAGCCCATTAAAATCATGGAGTGTTCTGGAAATCTCAAATATTTTGAGAAAATTTCACATCCTGGTCTAAGATCTATTGTCTCCACCTAAATGCCAGGTATTTAACATTTTGCTTCCCAGTCCTGCTTCTCCTTGTTTCCCGTGTACCTGGCCTACTGCTTGCTGGCAGGACAGCATCAGCTAGGTGTTCCTGTGGCTGATGGGTTCCTGGAGGGCTGGGTCCAAATCTGCTCATTGCTCCAGACCTTGGGTGTGGAGCTTGACTCTCTGCTGCCTCTTCACATGCTCAGTACCTCCCTAGCTTGCGCATCACCGTCAGAAGCCGCTGCCCCAGAGAGGCCAGTCTGAAGTGACCCCCTGCATCCTCAGTCCCTGCACCTTGCTCCTCTGTTCGCCAGTGTGGCTCTGGCTGCTGTCCTTTTGTGAGAGCTTCTGGGAGCTTCCCAGCGCATGTCGTCCCCACTGGTGGCGGGGAACAAGGAATGAAGCAAATACCTGCCGGCTTGTGGAGTGGAAGTAAACGTTGAGCCACGCTGTTTCCTGAACCCATGGACAATAGCAAGTGAGACTTCCTCAGTGCAGGGGAGGCCCTCACCACTCCCTGCCTGTGTCCCCCAACTCCACGGGGGCCACAGAGGAAGG